GCTCCAGGCCTCCGCCGTCAACCTGGCACCGGGCAAGGACGCGCGCGCGGTGGGGACGTGCGTGGCCATCGTGCTGTCCGTGCTGGTGTGCTGCCTGCCGCTGGGCATCTCGCTGGTGCAGGGCACGCTCTCAGGCCGCGGGGGCTTTGTCCTCTACCAGTTCGAGCTGTGCGGCTTCACCCTCATCTTCTTCAAGTCGGGCTTAAACCCCTTCATCTACTCCCGCAACAGCGCGGGGCTGCGCAGGAGGGTGCTCTGGTGCCTGCAGTACGTGGCGCTGCTCTGCTGCTGCTGCAAGCACAAGACCCGGCTCCGGGCCGTGGGCAAAGGCAGCCTGGAGGTGAACAGGAACAAGTCGTCGCACCACGAGACCAACTCTGCCTACGTGCTGTCTCCCAAGCCGCAGAAGAAGCTTCTGGACCAAGCGTGCGGCCCCAGTCACTCCAAGGAGAGCGCGCTGAGCCCCAAGGCCTCGGCGGGGCCCCAGCACTACGCGCAGAGCAGCTCGACCCCCATGAACACCCGCATCGAGCCCTACTACAGCATCTACAACAGCAGCCCCTCGCAGGAGGGGAGCACCCCCAGCAGCCTGCAGCCCGTGAGCTCCGCCTTCGCCTTCACCAGGTCCTACATTGCCATGCGCTACCGGGAGTGCGGCGGCGCGGCAGCGGTGGCAGCGCGGCACATTCCGGTGCCCTCCGTGTAGCTGGGCATGGGGATGGTGCTGAGCCGGGCTGCGGGGTAAGGAGAACACTGATGTCGATATCCAGCCACTGCAGCTGAAGCGAGTGCTGGGGCGCTGCTGCGGGAGGCTTTCAAAGGCAGTGCTATGGATGTGCTTGGGGATGTAGCACCAGGGGGTTGTTACTGAATGAGCAAAGAGCCGCAGGTATGCGATGCGCTGCTGCACCCGGGTGCCTCAGAACAGCCTGAGCCTGCACCGCAAGCATCACCCGACACTGCAGCCGGGCTCTCTCCAGGCAGGAAGAGCTGGGAGGGTGTTTGCCATTGAGGATCCTCGAGTTTAAACTCTGCCCGTTGCAAGAGGCTGAAGGCATGGGTGCTGGTTCCTTGTAGCCATCATCAGTGATGAGGAACGGCCTTTCGGTCCGCAGGGGGGAATCCTGCTTCCGTTGGGGTAAACGGCAGAATTCCCATGAACTTCAGCTGAAATTCAGGATTTCAGTGGCAGCTTCCTAAAGCAGCAAAGGGCATTTTATAGCCAGGGTTCCATTGCCTCTGGGGAGGGATTGGCAGTGTGGTAGCACAGTAACCAACCTCTAAAGTATGTGTATGGATATGGGATGTATGTTTATCCTAAGGATTGGTGGTGTTATGCATCCCGGAATAAGCTGTTTGGAGGAGTATTTTACATCCAGTAGAAGTAACTGTGCAATACCTAATGATGGGATTTACTTGATGATAAACATGACTATTCCACTGTAATAGTACTGCTATGCTGTTAGTAATGCAGTCACCTCTGGAATGTCCTCATCCATAAACTGTAATGCAGACAGCAGTGCTGCTGGTTGGGGGTTTGGTGTGTAAGAGCAGGAACTGGGGGGGATTTGGGTGGGATATTGGTGAGAGGTAGCGCTGACACCTCTGCTAATGGTTTAGAACCAGAACGGCCACGACACAACGGCGCCTTGTTGGGGTTAAGGAGCCTGCCATCAGTGTGATGTAAAGGTGATTCACACAGTGAGTGAATAACAGAACCTCAGTGGTTTTTACAATCCCAGCCATTGGTGGTGCTGGGAATTCCTTGGGAATCGGAATGATTCGGAAGCACTGAAATTCCTGCATTAAGTGGCCAAATCTTCACCTTTCAGCTTCTATGGACCTCAGCTGAGCCTCAGGTATCCCAGCCTGACCGTGCCCAGACTCTGGTGCCTGGGTGCAGGAAGATGCCACCCTTCAGCAATGGAAAGAAGCCAAGCCCGTTGCCGTGTGTGAGTCGTGGGTTTAGGTTCTTTGTTAACTGCGCTGCTTTGAGGGCTCCCTGGAAGCCGGGCGCGTTGGGAGCTCTGCCCTTTGGTACCACTCTGGGTTTTAATGAGTTTTCATGGCAATAAAATGGATGTGAACAACTTTCTCATACAAACACACAATGGAGATGATGTCCATGGGTCTCTGCCCAGGTATTTTCTCTATGAACGAGTAAGATGGTTCTTTCTCCAGTGCTCATAAAAGCTAACTGGAAGCTCTGCCTTGCTGGGTTTTCTGATGCGGCGTTTCTCTTTAGTACCGAGTGTGCTCATTCAGAGGGATGAACACATGGGGGCTGTCACCTTGGCTTGAGCTCTGTGACTCCCACTGTGCTCCTGGTTTGGATCGCACCACAGAAGGTCCAGTCCCTCACCCTTTACTCATGGTTTGCACTGAGTGTTCCTGTGGGAGTAAAGCCAGGAGGTGCAGCTGCGGGATAAGAGGGGTTTAATTGCCTTTATGTGGTGTGTCCTGGAGACAAAGGAACTTGAAGGGGTGAAAAGTCCCTTCAGAGCCCTTTGTGATGCTGCTCTTCTGTGATCACTGCTGCCAGTGGTATTCTTAATGTGTTAATGCGCTGATAGCTTCAGATGGGGAAGTGCAACACCTTTTAGTCTGCAATAGGAGGACATGGGATTTAAGCTGTCAGTTGTACCAAGTAACTGGTAGGGGGAGGTTTGTGGGTGTCATAAATAGAGACTGGGGTTTGGAAACACACAGCTACAATGATCTGAATCATGAATCAGTTGCCCTGTGATCGAGTAACTGGGTTTGACTCTTCTGGAGCCTAACTTTTCCTTTAGCAGCCTTGTGTCAGAACCCTCTGCTGCTGAGCACAGAGCCAGAGGAGCCCAGCTGCGAGGGTCAGGAAGCAGGAATCGAACTGGGAAGGGAAGCAACAGAGCTCTGGATGAAGGAAGTGGAGGATGTGCGTGCAGAGAGGTAAGAGTAAGAAGTACAAGTGTGTGAATACTGAATGGTGCAGGAAAAGTAGGTCTTTAGTAGTGCAGTTCCTAACATGAGAAGAGAGCATCAGTGAGTGTGAAAGGTGGCAAATCCAAGGCTTACAGCGTGCTGTACTTGATTCCTCAATGCCTGTATGCACAGAGCTAACTCCTTTTCAGAGCTCCAAATGTGCTGTCCCATCCCATTCTGCATTCCCAGGCCTGGGGTCTGCTACTGGGAAGTCCTTTGGGTTCACTCGTGTGAATCCAGGTCTGTGCTCAGTGATTTGCTCTCACCTCATCTGTATTTCCCATCGCAGCCTCTTGGTTTTCCTTGACTGTCAAAATGAGATCAGCTGAGTGGTTCCTCCTCTTTCAAATCCAATAAATAGAGCTGCTGAGTGGCAGCAGGGGATGGCAGGGCTGGACTCAGGGTGATTGTGTCCAGTGGAACTTTAGTAAGTAAATACTAACCCACAGAACTCCCTTCCTTGTTCTTCAGAGGTTTCTGACAGCAGCACTTAGAGCTTCACCATCAGTTAACAGCAGAGACAGACACGTGGAGCTGGCTCTTTGGCTTGCCTGCTGTATATCTGTATATCTGATTGTCTGGTGTTAACCTGTAATGATAACAGACTCTAAAGTCCCATCTCCTCCACCAATGGCTTGAAGCAAGTGGTGCAGCAGATTTGGGCTTGCATCTCTCAGATGCTTCCATTAAGTAACTGTTTCCTCTCTCTAAAACCACAGAGAGAAGCTGTTACCCTGCGCTGCCGTGGTCTGTGGTTTCCACATGTACACAGCGTGTGTTCCCGTCTCAGAACTGAGAGGCTGGACTGCAACCCAGATCCGAGTTTAAGGGTGTATTTCTAGCTCTGATTGTTTCAATGTGTGATTACCTTGGAGATACCCAAGTGTGGGGAAGCCGTAAAGAGGAACAGGAGGAAACAAAGCAGGAGACAGAGAGAGGTCCATGTTTTGTAAGGAACTACAAGACAAACCTCTTAGATTACACTCTGGGTTGGAGGAAGGCAGCCTGAGGCTTCATTAGCTTTGAAAGCCAGGTTGGACACAGGGGCTTGGAGCAAGCTGCTCCAGTGGAAGGGGTCCCTGCCCGTGGCAGGGGTTGGGGCTGGAGGAGCTTTAAGGTCCCTTCAACCCAAACCATTCCATGATTCTATCAAGCTGACCCTTGGATGTGTGACTCCAGCCCTCTTTCCTTCCAGGTGGCATCCCAGCATTTCAAGAAATGCTGGAAATAGCTGAAGACAGTCAAGCACCCGGGAAGAAAAGGCTGTGTCAGTGCTCGGGCCTCTGCCCTTTGGGTAATGGATTATTCATCAGATGGAATAACACACATGCTGCAAAGCCACTAGGAACCTGTCCTGGGACTGATCTGAGACAAACCCCTGTGACACAGCACCTTTGCAGGAGGTGAGCATAGGAACGCTTTTATTTGAGCACAGCCCCTCCATACACAACCTTTACACCTCCATGTATCCCTCCATGCACAACCTTTACACCTCCATGTATCCCTCCATACACAGTCTTTACACCTCCATGTATCCCTCCATACACAACCTTTACACCTCCATGTATCCCTCCATACACAACCTTTACACCTCCATGTATCCCTCCCTGCACAACCTTTACACCTCCATGTATCCCTCCCTGCACAACCTTTACACCTCCAGGTATCCCTCCATACACAATCTTTACACCTCCAGGTATCCCTTCATACACAAGCTTTACACTGTCCTGTATCCCTCCATACACAAGCTTTACACCTTCCTGTATCCCTCCCTGCACAAGCTTTACACCTCCCTGCACAACCTTTACACCTCCATGTATCCCTCCATACACAACCTTTACACCTCCATGTATCCCTCCATACACAACCTTTACACCTCCATGTATCCCTCCATACACAAGCTTTACACCTCCATGTATCCCTCCCTGCACAACCTTTACACCTCCATGTATCCCTCCATACACAACCTTTACACCTCCATGTATCCCTCCATACACAACCTTAACACCTCTGTGCATCCCTCCCTGCACCCCTCCCTGCACAACCTTTACACCTCCGTGCACCCCTCCCTGCACAAGCTTTACACCTCCGTGCACCCCTCCACCTCGCCCCCATCCTGAGCGGCTCCGTTCTCCGCTCTCAGCAGGGGCTCGTTGGTTGTCTTTAGGACGGCCTCCAGCTGGCGCCAGAACATCCTCTGTTTGTGCTCCTCGGGGCTCCACTTGAGGTAGGTTTTCCTCTTCAGCAGCTTCCTGAGCTTGCTGAACTTCTGGGGCACGCTGTGGGGCGGGAGGTCCTCCAGCACGATCATGATGAGGGAATCCTGGTTCTCATTGAGGACCCGGTGCTCGGCAAAGTACAGCTCGTACTGGCACCAGCAGCTGCTCACGAAGCTGGGGGAGAGCACAAAGATGACTTTGTGGCTGTTCTCGATGCAGTAAAAGATGTTCCCGAGAACGGGGTGCCCCGGTTTGAAATCCCTCTCGTGGTAACAGATCTTGAACCCGTCCCGTTCCAGCTTGCCCAGCAGATTCTCTTTGGTCCATTCTGCGTCGGGTTCGCTGTAGGAGATGAAGGCGTCGAAGGGCTTGTTCTCTGGCCTCTTCTCGTACTGCTTCCTCTTCGCCATGCACCAGTACCAGCCCATCCTGACGTACCAGAGCCCGTCGAAGCGCCAGCACAAGCCCGTCAGCACCAGCACCAGCAGGATGGCAGCACAAGCAGTGATGGCCATCTGGATGCCCAGGGAGCAGTGCAGGAGCGTGAGGCGGCTGCTCTCCACCAGCTGGCCCCTTCTCTCTGGTGGGAAGCTGCACCTGAGGCTCTCTCTGCCGCGGATGCGGAGCTGGGGGCTGTGGATGTAGACGTTGAGGAACCAGTAGAGGTCACAGTTACAGAAGAAGTGTTTGCCTTGAACAGTGAGAACGCTGAGCTGCCTCAGCTGGCCAAAAGTGTCCTCCACGATGGTGGTGATGGCGTTGTCGCTGATGTCCAGCTCGAGGAGGGAGGCCGGGAGAGCCCCCCGCTGCAGGAAGGAGATCTTGTTCCCGGAGAGATTGAAGTGTTTCAGCATGGGCAGGGATTGCCCAAAGTCATCGGGGAGCTCTGCAATGAGGTTGTGGCTACTGTCCAGGCTGGTGAGGGCAGGAAGACGGCCGGTGGCCTCCAGCCTGGCGATGAGGTTCCCAGAAACATTGAGGTGCTGGAGGTTCTCCAGGGCCTGGGTTAACGGCAGCAGGTTCAGCTTGTTCTTGCTGATGTCACATGTGGTTAGAGTCAACGGGAAGTACTCGGGGTGCATATCTGTGACTTGATTGTTCTGAATGATAAATACGGTTAGGTTGGACATGGATTTGAAACCGGGGGGTATCACCTTGATGTCACTGCTGCTTACATCGAGGTGCCGCAGGGAGGGAGGTAAGCTGGGAAGCGCCGCAATCCGATTGCTGCTGAGATCCAGGTATAGCAGTGCCTCCATGGTGCCAGCAAACCACTCTGGCAGTTCCACAATGGAGCAGTTGGACATCTTGAGGTGCTTCACGTTCTTGGGAAGGCTCTCGATGGGGGTCCCAGCCTGGTTCCTGACTAAGGAGATGGCCTCGATGCTCACAGATCCAGGGGGAGGCTTTGCCAGCGGGTCGGGGAGCTCCGGCCGCACGGTGTAGATGAAGTGGTTCCCCTGCACGTACATGTTCTCCAGGTTCAGCATCTTCTTAGCAAAGTTCTGGGGTATTTGGCTTATGTTGGTGAAGGACAAGTCAATGACCTTGATGGTTGTGGGGAGGCACAGCGTGTCCAGGCTGTTGATGGGGTTGTTGCTGATATTGACAAACCAGAACTTGTCAAAGGGGAAGGTGCAGATGCTCTCGACGTCTAGGATGTTAATTGTCAGTTTGTTGTAACTGGCATCAACCCACTGCAGGTTCTTCATGGGCAGGAACAGGACGAACAGCGACAGCAGATCCATTTCCAGGGCACTGTGACTAACGTCAAGCTCCAGAACACGGTCCAGCTGAGCTTGGCACAGCTCCGGGTCCAGCTTTACCATCAGCTCCTCCTCGGACAGTTTGCTGTTGGACAGATCCAGTGTCCCGTTTACTGGTTCTCCACAGAAACTGGGCCTCAAGGAGGCTGTGGGAGAGACGGCTCCGCTTCCCCCTCTGGAAGAGCCCGTTGTGTTTTCCTCTCCTCTTCGAGGCACGTTCCCTGCGCTCCCTCCGAGCCCCGGACCAGCACCCTGCAGGACAGCCGCATGGAACAGCTCCTCGGTGGGTGCAGAAGGCTCCGGAGCAGCCCCTGAGGGCTTGGTGGTGGGTGCCAGCTTCAGGTGGGGTGGGAGAGCCGGCACGACCAGTTCCTTGTCATTGAACGACAGGTCCAGAGCAGTGAGGCGGTGCAGGCTCTCCAGCGCTCCCGGGTCAATGTCTTTAATCCGGTTGTAGGAAAGGTCTAGGACTTCCAACATGCCAAAACCTTCCAAGTCTCTCCTGGTTACCTTCTCTATTGCATTGTGTGAGAAATTGAGAGCTCTGGCTGTTTTGGGAGCTCCTGCTTCTGCTATAGAAGAGAGGTTCAGGTAGGAGTAGCTGTAGAAGGGGAAGGTGTAGGCTGTAGGTGTTCCCTCCGTTACAAATCCATTTGCTCCACTGAGGAAGAAGGAAATGGAGTAGAAATGAAGGCTTCCAATAAGGATCCTCATCCTGAAATGTAAAATCCAGCTCTGTGTTAATGAATACCCTTACCAAGCTCACACTAACCCTGGTTTGCTTGCATGTACAGAGATCGGTTCATCAGTTTTATCCATGGATCCCTTTTTAACTGCATTGAAAATACACACTCATTACCACTTCCAAGAGGCAATGCTAGAAGGTGGTGGTGGAGAACACTGAGGAGAGCACTGCTCATTTCAGACCACTGCAGAGAAACGGAACGAGTTCTTCCTTCTCCTCTTGCCTTGCCCCAGCCCAGGCAGGCACTGAGCTCAATAGCATCTCTCTGTGGGGTCATCTGAAACCTGCTGGGACCCAGGATTTACACCTCTGGGCAACCACCAGGTACCCGTGACCCCTCCAAACCCTGCTCAGCCACCTCAGTGCCTGTTCAAGGGTAACGTGATGGGGAGCCACGTGTAACAGCGTGACCCCATCCCCTAGTGCTGTGCTCCCTGCCACAGGGAGCATCTCTCTAGCCTGAGCTGTAGAGTAAGGGAAACAGCAAGTTTGCTCTGCAGTAGCTGTTGGAGGCTCCTGTGGGGCAGCCTGCACCGGGGGAGCTCACTCACTGCTGGGCATCCTTCCTGGGACACTTCCCATTGCCTGGCGCAGCACTGCCCGGCTCCTCTCCTGCCCTGCTCTATCACTGATCTCAGCCCAGGTCTTGTATTCATGACCTGAGAATGCGGGTGCAGACTGCAGGTGAGGACCCTGCTGTTACCATCACCCCCTTTGCTGCCCTCCAGACCGGGACCATGGAGTTGAACTGAAGAGAAGGGACCCCGATGACATCGCAGCTCTGTCCCCTGCCACAGGACCCCAGCAGAACTCCCTGCATCCCTTACATGATCAGGAATAAGCTGCAGCACGGAGATGATGGGGGTAAGGAAATCCGTGGGGTGTTAAAAGCCGGGCAGGTTCAAGGCTAGAGGACATCGAACTGCTCATGTGCACTTCCAGCCACCCTCCCCACGCCGCTTACTCACCTTATCCTCAGCGCTGCTCCTCCACCGGTACCCGCTGCCGCTGCTGCCTTTTGTAGCACTGGGAGGGGAATGGGGCGGGCTGGGAACGGCCCAGTCCCCTGGGACAGCCGGGATCTGCAGCCCCACTGCCCCTGTGGGGCCGGGGGAGGAGGAGGTTTGCACAGGAGCTGCTGCTTCTCCCCCATCGCGTGGTGCCAGCAGCAGCTTCAGCCGCTGCCGAGGGGGAAGCTGGATGTGGAAGTCGCTTGGTTTAATGCTTGGTGCAGTGAATGGGGTGGCCGCAGGTGTCCGCTGGCTTTGTCCTGCCGGAGCATCTCTGGGAAGGCCTGCAAGTGCCAAGCGTGAGCACTGGGTTTAGAACTGGTTTACTGCTCTGTGGGGTGAGTTTCCCAGCATGAAGAGGGGTTTGTACTGGGCTCTCCCATGTGCGGATACAAGCTCTCGTGTGCCAGGAGCACTGCTGCAAAGTGAGCAATGGCCCTTTCTGTGTGCTTTAAGTGAGGCAAAGAGCTCACAGGAGGCTGGATCTGGGAGCCGATCTGGGAGCCAGCAGAAGGGGGCACGAGGATTGCACAAGGCAGAGCTCTGCCATCACCCTCGGCCGCTGCTTCCGCTGCTGGAGCTCTCTCGCTGTTGTGTTTCCACTCTGTTGTAAGCAGTGACTGGAAACCCTTGCACTCGCCCAGAGGCTCCCCCCATCGCGGCCAGGGGGGCTGGAAAACCCCCAGGTTGTTTGTGCTCCCTCTCTGCTCCCACCACCGGGCACTCTCCTGCCCCGGCAGGTTCAGGAATTGCCCTGGGGTCTCCCTGTTCTTCAGGCAGATCCTGACTTGCTTTAGTAGCAGACACAGGAAATGAAGAGCTTCTTGGAGGCCTCGGGGAAGGTCACTGAACCTGCTTTGGGCTGGGGGGTCCCTGCAGTGGTTTCTCCCCAGTGAGGCTCCCTTCCTTCCTTCCTTCATCCGAACGTAGCCTCCTGCTCCTGAGACCCGGAGTTCCCCCTTGGGAAGGTGCACAGGGCCCCTCAGACCACATCTGCAGCTGGTTCTGAGGGTGAAGCCCAGCTGGAAGAGGCCAAGTGGAAAAGAGCATTTTCAGTGCAAGGACCACGGCATCATTCCAGCTTCTGCCTCCTCCAGCCGGTGTGCTGGGTATGCATTTATGCTCCTGGGTTTTGGAGGCAACCTCTTACTTTGGGACTGTGGAGGAAGAGGAAGGTCCATGGGAGAGAGCAGGGAAAGGGGACGCAGTGCGGCTGGGAGCAGAGCCGTGGCAGCGCTGTGGTTCCCCACAAGGACTCAACAAGGAGATCTCATTGCTGAAGCAGGTCAGGTTCCTCTTGTGCACGGTCCCTCTGCGGGGAATGTGTTTTGGGAGGGCTGGAAAGGTAATTAAGGGAGGAGAGCTGAAGCTGCTCCAGTGCAGAGGGGGTGAGCATCAGCATTCAGGAGCCCAGGCCTCGAAGGAGCTTCCCCTCTTCAGGTGGGCTTAGATTTGGGTGCTGGGTGAAAATGAGAAGTCACATCTGTACATCTCTGCAGATGTTAGGACAAGGGGTAAGGGTTAAAACTGAAATAGGGGAAGTTTAGATTGGATATAAGGAAGAAATTCTTTCCTGTGAGGGTGGTGAGGCACTGGAATGGGTGCCCAGGGAGGTTGTGAATGCTCCATCCCTGGCAGTGCTCAAGGCCAGGTTGGACACAGGGGCTTGGAGCAAGCTGCTCCAGTGGAAGGGGTCCCTGCCTGTGGCAGGGGTTGGAGCTGGAGGAGCTTAGAGGTCCCTTCATTACAAACCATTCTATGATTCTATGTTGCTTCCTGTGCAAGGGGAAGCAGAGGCTGGGGAACACGGAGGTGGACACACAGTCCAGGGTTTGGCACCAGCATGGTTTGCTCAGAAAACGTCCAAATTTGAGGTCCTGTGGCCACTTAGTCAGAGGTTCTGCTTCCCCTTGGCACTGGGGACTTCCCTCCTGCACGGGGAGTGGGATTCATTACACTGCACAAGAACTGTGCTGCTCTCTCCCTCTGCTCTGCTCACCTCAGCTGAGGGTGCACAGCAAGCTTCAGTGTGTGGCTTCTCTTCCCTTTAACATGACCAGGCCCAATGGGTGCAGGGGCAGTCTGACACCAGCCCATGCCTGGGCTGAAGGGGCTGAGGGAGGGGGACAGTGCTGCTGCTGTGCTCGCCTGAGCAGGCAGCATGGGAGGAGCCTGGCCCAAAGCTCCACAGGCTGGGCAGGTCACTTGAGCGTGGCCAAAGCCAAACTGTGGTCAGTCCAGGACCCACATTCATCCCCATTGCTGCTGGAGGCTTCATGAGAAGGTTGGTGCGGGTGTCTGGTCAGGCAAGGAAAAGAGCTTGAGGGCAACTAAGTGAAAGAGCTGAAGTCTGGAGGACATGGCTTTTAATGTCATCTCTTTTCTAAAGCTATTGGCTAAAAAACAGCATTAAAACTTGTATCACATTTTGCTTATTTATCTAATGGTTGACAAGAACATGGGGGGAGGGTGGTCATCTGTGTAGAAACCTCTTCCAGAGTCAAAAGCTATGTTTAGAAGACTCTACCCCCCTTTGCCAGTTTCCACTGTCACATTGCTAAGCCAGGGGAAATGAGGGTAGCATCAGAAGCAATGACTTGGAGTTTAAATGCCATCACATCCTGCTGCTGCTCTTTTGATTTTCTGCCCTATGAGGCAATAAAAGGGGTTCTATTGCAACAGGCCAGCAGCTTCAGTTGCTATTTTGGGTGCTATGAAACGAGTCATATGCCAAAGGGCTGGCGGATTTCCGTCTGAGGTGGGTTAGGAAACTCCTGTACCTTGCACAATGGTTGCGGGAAAGAGGAAACGCAGCTGGCTCATACACTGAGTGAACATCACTGAATCCCAGACTGGTTTTAGGCAGTGGGACCTTAAAGCTCCTCCAGCTCCAAGCCATGGGCAGGGACCCCTTCCACTGGAGCAGCTTGCTCCAAGCCCCTGTGTCCAACCTGGCCCTGAGCACTGCCAGGTGGAAGTTGTTACTAAGAGCAAGCACTCAGTCACCTCTCTCAGCTGTGAACTTGCCGTTTCTGGCCTACCTCCAGCACTGCTCAGCACAGGGCACTGGAGGACACGGTGCCTCCTGCCTGCTCAGTGTGGAGGGGCTGGGGTGTGTCTGGGCTGGGGTAACTCAGCCACAAAGGAAGGGATCCAGGTCCCAGCTGGTAAATGGTGCACTGTGCCAGCCCTGGGCTCTCCTGAGGGACTGAGCCTCGAGGGGGTGTTGGCTGCAAACCAGCAATGAGCAAAGTTACTTTGAAAGCAGCTATTTTAAAAGGACAGTGGGAATCGACGTGGCATTTCACCTTACTTCCAGGGATGTGTGGGGCAGCAGACTAGAACTTCATGCACCTGCACCACATCTCTTACTGGCATGGCTGCTGTGTACCAGAAGACAGAAAAGGTCCATCAGGAGGCAGGGGGATGCACTGAGGAGTCACTGTTGAGAAGGAAACTGCTCAGACACACAAATGCCACACGTGGCTGAATACAGACAGGGGAGTGGAGAGGGCTGGCTTGTATTGACAGCTCTGCTGCACCAACTGCTGGCTGTTGATCACTTGTGTCATACCTGAGAGTCCTTGGAAGCACAACAGCAAGTCTCAGCGATGGCAGGAAGAATGTCCAGCAAAATAAATACAGTAAGATGAACCCTGCAGTGTTAATATCACAAAATATCCCAGGCTGGGAGGAAAAAATAACACTTGAAGGGATAAGGCAACAGGAGAATGCATTTCCAAGCAGTCAAACTGAGGTAACGCTGTGTGTGGACAAGCAGTGGCAGCAGAACAGCAGTCAGTGTTGCAGCAGCTGGTGAAGGCTCCCGAGTGAAGGGTTCTCTTGGCAGCTGAACTTCTCCCATGAAGCTGGGCCGTATTCCTCTTGCCTTGTGAAGCTGGTGTCTTACACCTCAGTGCTGACGCCGCCGGCTGCAGAAGGTGCCACACACAAGTCAAAGAGGAA